TCTCCCATAGGTCTCTTGTAAGGAGAGCCAAAGTGAACATCTTTCAGATGTTCTAAGTTGTTCAACGTGGTAATCACTAGCCACATGTAGCTATTTAAATGTAATTTTAAATTCACCCAAAATTAAAATTGAATTCCTCAATCACATCAACCACATTTAAACTGCTCACTAGTTACAAACAGAACATCTCCCTCATCTCTAGAAAGTTGTTTTGCATAATGCTGTTCGAAGGTAAGTGGATGATGGGATATTTTTAAATCTCTTGTGATCAACTGATCAGTGAGAAGGATAGAGAAGGCCAGACTGCACATCAGGGGTCAGCAGAGTAGCAGTGCGTGGTTTTTTTTATCTGGGCTTGGATAAAAGAGGAAAACAAAAAGGTAGGTAGGACGTCACTGGGAGAAATTAGCATACAGACCACGGAGTCGGTAATCGTGGGTTTCAGTGTCCTTTCTTGGGTAGGCGAAACAATGCTCCAGTTCTTTGCGAACATTTGCTGAAACTTCACAGGGAAGCAGAGTTCACTGGAGAAAATTCCTCAAACTATGTAGACATGTATGGATGTACGTGCATTTGCGAAAACAAACCAAAAAAGGACGCCGTATATGAAAAAACAAATAGCCTACGCGTGTGGGTGTCCGTTGGGTCCCACACGCCGGCGGCGCAGAACAACCACGTTCCCACGATCCCTCCCCGGCGCCGTCGCCGTTTGGACTTCATTTCCCAGAAGGCCATTCATCCCGCCCCGGCCACCCTGCCTGCAGCGTGCCCTCTGGGAGATAAAGTCCCGAACTCGGCGTTCGGGCCATCGGCGGAAAAGCGGACCGGAAGTGGCTTTGGCGAGTGTGCGCACTCCGGCGGCTGGCGGTGCCGCGCCGCTCTGTGAGGGGCGGTGCTGGTGAGTCCGCGGTTTCGGCCTGAGGGCTTTTGTGAGTGTGAGGCGCGACGAGGCCCGTCTGTGCACGCTGTGGTAGTGACTGTGTAGCTGGGCGGGTCCCGGAGGGCAACGCGGACCCGGGGATGGGTCGCGGGGACGCCGTTGGGGGACGGAGGAGAAAGGAGGGGCCGTGGGCGAGAGCGCATGCGGAAGGCTGCGAAGGAGAGACCTGCGCGTGCCCGTGAGACCTCAGCTGTGGATGGCCAAATGTGGCACTGCACGTGTACGTGTTGGAGAGGAGGGGTGTTTGGTATGTGAGGTACCACCTGCGTGTGGATATGAGACCTCAGGTATGTGTGGGAACCCAGGGCGTCAGTGTTTATGTGTGCAGGTGTAACCCTAGGTGTGTGCGTGTGGCCAAGTGTGTCACCGCGTGTGCGTTTCAGAGGGGAAGGATGTCTTGCTGGTGAGACACCACTTGTGTGTGCAGATGAGACCGCAGGTGTGTGTAGGAGAGCCCAGTGTGTCAGTGCCTGGGTGTGCAGATGTGATCTCAGGTATGTGCATTTGACTGGATGTGTTACCGCTTGTGTATGTCAAAAGGGAAGAGTGTATTGCATGTGTGACACCACTTGTGTGTGCAGATGAGACCTCAGGTATGTGTGGGTGGTCAGGTGTGTCACCATGCATGTTTGTGGGGAAGGGACGCTTTGTATGTATGACACCCCCTTTGTGTCTGCAGGTGTGACCTCAGGTGTGTGCCTGTGGCCTGTATCCCTTAGCCATCACTCCCAGTCCTCTTTTCTCCAGCCCCTGACAACCATTAATCTACTTTCTGTTAATCTGTCTCTGTTCTGGACATGCGATATAAATGGGATCATAACAGTATGTGGCTTTTTTGTGTCTGGCTTCTTTCACTGAGCAAAATGTTTTTCAAATCCATGTTGTGCCATATATCAGTATTTCATTAAATTTTTAAAAATTTTAATAGCTGAATAATAATCCATTGTGTAGCTATACCACAGTTTGTTTACCCAAATAATGGTACTGTGAACATACAGATTTTTGTGTGGACATATGTTTTCCATTTGGAGGAAGGAGGCAGTTGGGTCTTTCCCAGGAATGCTCATGTGTATGGCCACACGTGCTCCCTAGTGCCTTCGCTCATCCAGCAGTATTTCATTTTCCAGAATCCCAGCCCTGAGTCCTGAAGTGAAAGCCAGGAGTCTGACCGCTGTATGGGAGTAGATGGGAGGAGGCAGTAGCTCTGGGAACTGGAATCCATCTCTGCAAGACTCACCCACAACCTGGGATCTCTGTCTGGGACTAAGACCACATGCTCCCTATCCTGTAGCTGCTGAAGTCAAGCAGCCAAGAGACAGAGCAGAGTGGCAGGCAATGGAGCCTGAGGAGCCAGGTGAGGCACATGTCAAGGTGGTGGTCACAGGGCTGGACATTTTCAGAAACCAGATTTTCCCTCAGAATATGCCCTGCTGCCCTCACTCTACTGCCCTGCCATCCTCAGCCTAGTCCAGACGACCACCTCTTCACGGGTCTCCTGCCTCCCCTTCCTGCCTCTGTTGCCCTCTGCACCGCACCAGAGAGGTTTTTAAACCCTGAGTGGTGAGGCCACCTCTCCCTTAAGCCTTCTATCCCTGCCCTGGTTGTCACAGCAGCGTTGGCAAACTCTCCCTGTAAATACCAGGTAGCTAACATTTCAGCTTTGTAGGCCAAGAGGCAAAACCCAAGATGTCAGGTAGGTCCTTAATCTAACAAGAGAGAAAACACATACCCACGTGTTTTTTTCCCCTGATGAAATCCAGAACTTTATCGAATACTGAAATCTGAATTTCATGTAACATTAATCTTCTGATGATTTTTCCCTCCCAACCACTTAAAAATGGAAAAACTCTTCTTAGCTCACAGTCTGTACAGAAATGGGCTGTGGGACTGACTTGCTAAACCCTGATGTGACCAAATCCACACTTCTTCCCATGCCTTCTGGGCCCTGCATAACCTGATTCCTGCTTTTTTCCAGGGCTCACCCTTTGCCCAGCCTCTGGGCACTGAATAGCATTTAAACGTAGATATTACCTCAGAGGCCCTCCCTGGCCACTTGATTCAAAACAGGTGCCACACCCATCTACATTATGTTGTGTTGTTTTGTTTTGTTTAGCATTCCCATTTATCATAGACTACAAATTTCATGGTGTGGTGCACAGTCCATGGCATATTTGTTAAATGAATGAGTGAACAGTCACCTTTCTGCAAAAGATACTATTACTCAGTTTTACAGATAGAAAACCCAGGCCTTAGGTGAACTGAGCAAGCCAAGATCACCCAGCAGAGAGTGGTGAGATGGATTTGATCTTAGGTCTGACAGATTCCACTTATCCCTCATGTTCACTCTTTCCAGTCTAGGAATGACACTGGGAGGAAGGGGTGGGCACGCGGTACATCAGGGCCTCACGTGAGCCCTTCACTCCTGGGAGTCTCACAGGACTTGAATTCAGGATGGCTGGGACTATTGCTTTTCCCTCAGAGCACTTTCCTATCTGTATCTCACTTTGTCCCCAGACAGTCCCTGTAGAGGCATCCTGACAGGAGTCTGCTGCCAGTGCTGTCTGTAAACCTGAAAGCATAGGGCAGAGACTACAAACTGTTACACAGCATATAATTTACTTTGTGTGAAGTTCAAGAATAGGAACAAGTTGTGTGTTGCCAGAAATCCCGGCAGTAGTCACGCTGGGGCCCGGGAGGGACTTTCCCGGAAAGGATGCCCATCTGGAGCTGTCCACGGTGCTGAATGTCCTAGTGTGAGCTGTCTGAATGGTAACTAAGAGCCCCGTGGAGATATTAAAATGTAAATCAGGTGGCTCAGTGGGTTGAAGCCTCTGCCTTCTGCTCAGGTCATGATCCCAGGGTTGAGATGGGGTTGAGCCCCACATCGGACTCTCTGTTCAGCAGGGAGCCTGCATCCTCCTCTCTCTCTACTTGTGATCTCTGTCAAATAAATAAATAAAATATTTTTAAAAATGTAAATCAGTTAAACTTCAAATTACACATCCAGGGGGCGCCTGGGTGGCTCAGTGGGTTAAACCTCTACCTTCAGCTCAGGTCATGATCTCAGGGTCCTAGGATCCTGAGCCCCACATCGGGCTCTCTGCTTGGCAGGGAGCCTGCTTCCTCCTCTCTCTCTGCCTGCCTCTCTGCCTACTTGTGATCTGTCAAATAAATAAATAAAATCTTTAAAAAAAAAATTAGACACCCAGTTTCTCAATCACACCACCTGTTTTTCTACCATTCAGTAGCCACTTGGAGCTGATGGCTGATCAATTGGACAGTATAGCTCCAGAACATTTCCATCCTCACAGAAAGTTCTAGAGCTTGATCTGGACAGTGGCTATACAGGTGTGTGGATTGGCCAAAACCCATTCAACTATGGGGCGCCTGGGTGGCTCAGTGGGTTAAGCCTCTGCCTTTGGCTCAGGTCATGATCTCAGGGTCTTGGGATCTAGTCCCGCATTGGGGTCTCTGCTCGGCGGGGGGCCTGCTTCCCCCTCTCTCTGCCTGCCTCTCTGCCTACTTGTGATCTCTCTCTCTGTCAAATAAATAAATAAAATCTTAAGGAAAAAAACCTCATTCAGCTGAGCACTCATGAATCTACTAAAAATATATCTTTTTGAAACCAGACTCAAGTATCACTGTGTGGGTTCAGATCCTCACCCATCACTTGCTTTGTATCTTTGATTTAACCTCTTTCTGACCCCCTGTCCCTTCCTGTAGAACAGTGATGATAGTACCTCTTTTTCCTCACATTAGGGCACTTGGCCAGAATTGCACAGCCAGCCCTTGAGAAGTTTGCGCCCTAGGGATGACATGGAGCTGCAACACAGGCAGCTGCAGCTGCTCTCAGGGACTTGGTCTTGGCTCAGAGATAGTCCCCCGTTTTAGAGGCAGGGGTCTGAGGCCCAGCCTCCAAGGATCATATCAGAGGGCTGCTTTCTTTGGGGCCCTGACCTCAGTGACCCCCGGCCCAGTGTAGGAGCCAGGACGGGATGAAGGTTGTAAAGGTGGTGTGCCTTCTGGCAGCAAGGACACCATGCGGTGGTCCTATGTTTTATTTCACAGAGACTTTCTAAGACATAATGCCATCCATCCTCCCTGGAGTCTGTGCTTTTTGTACCCAGGAAGAAATTGGCCCAGAGCAGGGATATGGCCTGTTAGTGGGTCACAGTGGAGCTGTGGGTCCAGGGCTTCGTACTCCAAGTATTTGTCATCCTCTGGGTCACTGTGGACCCATGGTGGCTGTGTAGACCCCTTTATAAGAGCCCAGGTAGGCTGTCACATCCCCAGACTAATTCTGGGGTGTGTGGGTCACCCCATCTGTCTATGTGGACACAGCCTTCTCCACAGGACTCACTATCTTGGCTGGTAATGGATGGGGACAAGAGTGGGGGTGCCTCCATGGAAAAGTTATACTGCAGCAAACATCTTACCCCTCGATGCCTCAGTTTCCTTCCTGTAAAATGGATCAGGTAGTGTCGATCCTAACTATCCCCCATAGGGACAGAATGAGAATCAAGCAAGCCAATGAAAGGTGCCCACATCATGACTGGCATGTAGTAAATGTTGAGGGCTGTGGTTCTGCCAAGTTCTGGAGGATAAGCAGGAGGGAGCAGACCCAGGGCGAGCAGTGCAAGAGGAAACACCTATGGGAGAGTCTGGACCAGGAGGGCCAGAGCCCCTGGGAAAGAGTTTAGCAGCTGGCAAGGGGAGGGATGTGAGGTGAGGAGACTTTGGGGCTTGGGCCTCTGGGGCCTGAGGGCAGATCTGGCCTCCCTCACATCCGCTCCCCTCCGCCAGCTCTTCCTTCTCAGGGGAGCATCAAGGAAGACAAGCCCAAGGCCCAAGATACTGCATTGCCAGCAGATGCCTTACACATGAGTTTCCAGAAATGTCAGTCATCTCAGCAGGCATCCTCCTTTCTATTCTTGATTCTGTGATGCTCGACCACTCGCCACTGGAATGGAGCCACAGCTCCCAAGGAGCATGAGTCCTGGGGCAGGGCCCCTTCCTCAGTGGCCAGGGCTCTCTTCCTCCTCTTCCTCTCCTTCTCCCTTCACTCCACGGTGGGGCTGAGTGAGCCTGTCAGTCTAGGGCACCTTGGATTAAATTCATGCCTGGACCAATCTGGAACACAGGCTCTTTATGGTCACCCTGTTTACCAGCCAACATCCAGGAAAAGGACAGAGCAGGGACTGGCATATGCCGACACCAGGAAAATGTTAAAGGGTAAATGAGTGAATGGGGGCACCGAGCAGCATTTAGAAAGGTGGTTGGGGGCTTTGAGTATTGATGGTAAGTAGTTCCTCTGAAATTGATGGTGCCTGCTGACAGGCCCTTTATTCATGGGGTCCCCAGGGAGACAGCCACACAAAGGCAGAGGGATTGTTGCCATGGTCTCAGGGTGCTGCCATGGGGCAAAAAGTCCAGGTTGGGGACACTTACTGGTCCCAGAGCACATGTGGCTGGTCTTGGATGCCATCACATCCTCCAAGCCTCCCCTGCCCAGCCCTAAAGTGGATGTAGGCCACACAGGTGTGACAGATGGCTTTGTTGGGGGCTGACAGGGGCCATCCAGCTGTCTCTCTAAGGCCACAAACCTGAGTGCTTTGGGAAGGGATGAGGCATCACTGTGTCTTAATCTGCTTAGGTTCCTATAGCAAAATACCGTGAAACGTGTGGCTTAATCAACAAATTTATCCCTCACGGTTTTGGAGACTGGAAGTGCAAGATGAGGGTGCCCACAGGGTTGGGTTCCGGTGAGCGCTTTCTTCCTGGCTTCCTAATGAGCTACCTTCTCTCTGTGTCCTCACACACTGAGGGAGGGAGGGAGACGAGAGCACACATGCTTTGGTCTCTCCCTCTTCTTATGAGGGCACTAGTCCCATTGTGGGGTCCCGTCCTCATGACCCCATCTAAACCTAATTCTCCCGCCAAAGGCTGCATTTCTCATTACCTTCTTGCTGAGGAGTAAAGCTTTAACAGGAGTTTGGAGACAACACAATAATTCAGGTGAGACTGCAGTACCCAGTGTCAAGGTGTTAACAGCGCCACTCACAGCATGAGCCACGCCCCTCCCCCATGACAAGAGGGTGTTTCCCAGAACATTCACATCCTACTGTTCCCCATGCGGCTGGCCCTGTTCAGATGGGGTCCATGGCTGAGCCAACGTATGTGGGATGTTTCAGAAGCCAGTGACATTTAAGGACGTGGCCATAGACTTCACATGGGAGGAGTGGGGGCTGCTGGGCCCCACACAGAGGATCCTGTACCATGACATGATGCTGAGGAACTATGGCAACTTGGTGTCCCTGGGGAGGCCTTCCTGTCACTTCTTCAACCATGTCCCATGTGTGTGCGTTTCCATGTGTGCTCACACATACATGTACATATTTATCCCCTGCCTTGTCCCCAGTACCCCACACCCAGGTATGTCCTTGCTCTGACCTGTGTCCTCCAGTTGGTTCCCGTCTGTGCAGAGTGGACGCCCTACCCCATATCACCAGAGAGAGACCTCCTGTGCCTGGGGCACACACGCTGCCCTGTTGGGTCTGTTGGGGTCTGGCTGGCTTGTGACAATAGCATCAATATTTCCCTCCTACTTTCTAACGATGCGCAGGACTTCCCGATTGCAAACCAGATGTGATCTCCAAGCAGGAGCAGTGGGAAGATCCCTGGACTATGGAGAGAGGTGTCCCAAGAGGTCCAGATGAGTGAAGTTAGCATCTACCAGATCAAGTGTTTTTTAAAATTAATCTTCCTCCCCCCAGTTTTTTTTCAGGTATAATAACAGACAAAAAGTGTATATATTTAAACTGTACAACATGATGTTTTGAAATACATATACAGGGGCGCCTGGGTGGCTCAGTGGGTTAAGCCGCTGCCTTCGGCTCGGGTCATGGTCTCAGGGTCCTGGGATCGAGCCCCGCATCGGGCTCTCTGCTCAGCAGGGAGCCTGCTTCCTCCTCTCTCTGCCTGCCTCTCTGCCTGCTTGTGATCTCTCTGTCAAATAAATAAATAAAATCTTTAAAAAAAAAAAAAAAGAAATACATATACATTATGAAATGATCACCACCATCAAACTAATTGATATATCCATCACTTCACATAGCTGTGATATTTTTTCTGTGGCGAGAAAGATTACAATGAACTCCTTTAGGAAATGTGAGGTACACAATACAGTTTTGGAACTGTGGTCACCATAGTTACAATACTATAGTTCAGATCAGTTTATTTCTCCTCCTGGGGCAAAGAGGTGCGACATATATCGACCAGAAAAGAGCCAGTAGGCAGAAGCCTGAAAACAAAACCGATAGTCACTTAGGGATCACTTCCTGACACGCGACAGGCACTAATCCGCCTCCTGTCTCTGTGATTTGCCTGTTCTGACATTTCATATAAATGAAGTTTATATAAATGTATTTGTATAAATCCATTTGTTTTTCCTATAGATACAGGTCATACTATGTGTGGTCTTTTTGTGTCTGGCTTCTAACCTCTGGCAATAGTGGTCTATGAACGCTCATGTCCCGGTTTTTGTTTGACTGTTTTCCATTATGTTGACTAGGCCATGTTGTGGTAAGGGTGTGGTTGTAAAACACCCCCAGTGGCAGCTGACAGGTGGGGTGGCTCTTGGTGGCCTTGGCCCCTAGCCTTTCTGTGTTCCATTCTGCCATTTTCCTTCCTTACCATGCAGAAGAGGCTTGACAGCAGGCCTGTGGCCACCATTCTTGGAAAGGCCTGGTGCAGGGTTGGCCTTTGACTGGCCTGGGAACATGGATCGTGGGAGGATTCCCACCATGTCTTAAATGGTAAGGGTGTCTCACTGCGCCCAGATTATTTGTCCAGACAGTGTCGTTTATACTGAATGCCTATTTTACTTCTGAGAGTGTGGGATTTTGGTAGGTGCTACACAATGGGTGCATATGTGGCCAGCCCGCAGTCAAACCCTGGGCACAGAGTCTCGAACAAACCAGAGAATACACTTTGTTCACGTCCAGTGTAGGAGGGGTTTGGTGCACGCTGTGTGGCTCCACTGGAAGAGGGCTCTGCCCCCTGTGCCTTTTCCCATCATGGATTTTGCCTGGTGTCCTTTTGCTCTAATCAGTCACAGCCACAGTGTGGTACTTTGTCGAGTCCTATAAGTCCTAAGGAGTCAACAAGCCTGTGGTGGTCTTCTGGACCTTGATCTCTTCAATCTTCTGTCCTCAGCTGCAGGAATGCCACTGAAAGGCGCAGTTCTGTGTGTTCCAGTCTGACTGAGGTTCTGTCCGTCCCCTTCAGACTCAGTGCACAGTCGGGTTAGGGCTTGAGCATGTTTCTTTGCTTATTTTTCAGACACAGAGCCTGGGCCCCAAGCTGCATGGCTGCCTTTAGAGAAAGATGCTCTGCTTCAGGGTCCGAAGACAGTGGGACTTACAGGGCAGGATTTCTGGCACACCATCCAGAAAGAAGCCACAGAGTAGGAAGGCCAGGTGGTGGAGAGACAATGCCAAGTAATGACACTCAGCCAGGGGAAGAGGAGCCCAGAGTGGAGCCTTGCAGGGACTTTCTCCTGGCACCCATTCCTCACTGAGCACCGGTCCTCTCAGTGCTCAAGCTCCCACAAGCCACGTTGGCAAAAAGGGCCTCACCTGCCTTTCAGTCCTAGATCAGGGGCACCCTGCCAAGAAGAGAGTGTATGTATGGAAGCCCCCCGCTCTTTTCCAGACCCAGTCACCCACAGGGAGCTCACACTGTGGGAGACACGCTGGTGTGTGGTGGGTGGGGAGAGATGGCTTTGGCAAGAATACACACCTTGGGGGCGCCTGAGTGGCTCAGTGGGTTAAAGCCTCTGCCTTCGGCTCAGGTCATGATCCCAGGGTCCTGGGATCGAGCCCCACATCAGGCTCTCTGCTCAGCAGGGAGCCTGCTTTCCTTCCTCTCTCTCTGCCTGCCTCTCTGCCTACTTGTGATCTCTGTCAAATAAATAAATAAAATCTTAAAAAAAAAAAAAAAAAGAAAAGAAAAGAATACACAACTTGTGGGCTCTCCACGGATTCCCAGTAAACGGAAGGCCTACACGTGCGAGGAGTGTGGGAAGGCCTTCGGACAGAGCACACATCTCGTTCAACACCAGAGAACGCTCACCGGCGAGAAGCCATACTGTGGCGGGAGTGTGGCCGGCCTTCCAGCAAGAACTCTTCGCTTGTTAAGCACCGGCGGGTGCACACGGGCGAGAAGCCCTTCAGCTGTGGGGAGTGCGGGTGCGCCTTCAGCCGGAGCTCGCACCTCGCGCAGCCTCAGCGAGTCCACACCAGGGAGAGGCCGTTCGCCCGCTGTGAGTGCGGCAGAGCCTTTGCCGAGTCTTCAGGCCTCCTGGTCTCCCACAGGACCCACGCGGGGAGAGGCCTTGTGAGTGCCGCATGTGCTACAGGGCGTTCGGCCTCCTCTCCTCGCTGGCCGAGCACGAGCGCGGCGCTCCGGGAATGTGGGAAAGGCTTCAGCCAGAGCTGCTCCCTCCGCAAGCTCCTGAGGACACGTACGGGTGAGAAGCCGCACCCCTGCGGGCACCGCGGCCACTCTTTCGGCCAGAGCTCCTTCCTGGCCAAACACCAGCGGGTGCGCACGGGCGAGCGGCCCTACGCAGGTGGAGAATCGTGAGGACCTTCAGCCAGAGCACGCTCCTCACCCGGCACGAAGGGATCCACACTGGGGAGAAGCCCTCTGTGTGTGGGGACCGCGGAAGGGTCTTCGTGCAGAGCGCCGCCTCACCCTCCACCTGGGACGCACACCGGGGAGGGGCCCCACAAGTGCAACGAGCGCAGCAAGGCCTACATCTAGATGTTGCACCTCACCGAGCACTACCGGGTGCACACGGGGGAGCGGCCCTACGTGTGCAGTGTGTGCAGCAAAGCCTTCAGCCGCGGCGCACACCTCATGCAGCGCCGGTGCGTCCACGCGGGCGCCGGACCCTGCATACGCCGCCTGAGCCGGAAGACCGTCCGCGAGCCTGCGGTCCTCCTTCCCCGTCGGAGGGTTCAAGCTGGACAGAAACCCTTTAAGTGTCACAAATGTGAGAAAGTCTTCAGCCAGGGCAGATCTCTGGCCCGGCACCGGAAAGTGCTTTCCCAGGGGACACCACGTGAGTGCAGCGGGTATCAGAAGACCCTCGGCAGCTCTTCCGCGCTCATCCCTTAGTGACCTGGGCGCGCGCCAAACATGGCGGCGACCCGTCGACCTTGGTGTGGTGTTTCTCCTCGGCAGAGGGCGCCGGGAGGATCAGCAACCCCGGGCCGGTGCAGAGCAGCCCCCTGCCGTCATACACGTCTCGCTGCAGGGTCAGGCGGTTGGGTGAGAAAACCAGAGTAGCCTTCAAGGGGAGCAGCAACCCTTCCCAAGCTCCATCATGCAGGTTCCCACAGATGTCCACCAGGTGGGACACCAGGTGGGAGAGACCACGGTCCCAGCAGGTCTGGACCAGTCGTTTCAGTTTTTGCCAAGGCAAAAATGAAATTAAAAACAAAACCCCAAAAACATGAAACTTAAAAAGATGCTTTTTCAGGGCACCTGGATAGCTCAGTCAGTTGAGCTTTTATCCACTTTAGAGAGAGTGCACAAGCTCTCTCTCTAAAGTGGATAAATTCTTTTTTGTAAAGATTTTATTTGACACAGAGAGAGAGATCACAAGTAGGCAGAGAGGCAGAGAGAGAGAGAGGAGGAAGCAGGTTCCCTGCTGAGCAGAGACCCTGATGCGGGGCTCCATCCCAGGACCCTGAGATCATGACCCGAGCTGAAGGCAGAGGCTTAACCACACTGAGCCACCCAGGCACCCCGGAATATTGCTTTTTTAAGATTCATTTATTTTAGAGTGTGAGAACATTTCCATGAGAGAGAAGACTGGGCATGAACTAAGACAGGACACAGAAACACACACATACACAAACGTCACAAATTACAGAAGTGCACAAGACATCTGGCAAAAACCAGCCACCCAGGAGCCCCCATCCTTGCTTTTATTTATTTTTTAAGATTTTATTTATTTAACAGAGAGGGAGATCACAAGTAGGCAGAGAGGCAGGCAGAGAGAGAGAGGGGGAAGCAGGCTCCCTGCCGAGCAGAGAGCCCGATGCGGGGCTTGATCCCAGGACCCTGAGACCATGACCTGAGCCAAAGGCAGAGGCTTAACCCACTGAGCCACCCAGGTGCCCCAATAAATCCTTAAAAAAAAAAAAAAGATGCTTTTTCAGTTGTTGGTGCCTTGTATTAACTCAGGCCATATGGTTTTGTTTTTTTCTTCGGCCAGAAAGTAAGGTTTGTAATGCTGAAATGTGGTGTGTCACAGTCGTGGTATTTTATTTTATTTTAATTAATTTATTTATTTGGCAGAGCACAAGCAGGAGGAGCAGGAGAGGGAAGAGCAGGCTCCCTGCAGGGAGCCCAACGTGGGACTCAGTCCCAGGACCCTGGGATCATGACCTGTGCTGAAGGCAGATGCTTAATGACTGAGCCACCCAGGCGCCCAAAGTTGCAGTCTTTAAAAAAGACATTGTGTGTCATTCAATAGCTTCAACACAAGGACTTCATTAAAATCATTTGAGCCGGTGACATTCAAGTAAGACCTTAGCACTTGGTAAGCACTTATACCCATTGTTTCATTCATCCTCTCAGCACCCCTGGGATGCAGATATTTTTATCCCCACTTTAGAGACAAGGAGCTGAGTTGTTGTTGTTGTTATTGTAGTTGTTTTAAGATCTACTTATTTGAGGAGGGTAGGGGTAGAGGAGACAATCCCAAGCCGACTGTGTTGATCATGGAGACTGACACAGGACCCAATCATGACCCCAAGACCATGACTTGAGCTGAAACCAAGAGTCAGATGCTTAACCGACTGAGCCACCAGGCGCCCCAAGGAGCTGAGATTTTGAGAGGTTAAACCACTGCCAGAGGACCCCGGCTAGAATCCACTCACTTTTCAGGATAAAAATATATGAGTTAGCAGATGGGGACAGAGAGGGAATAGTCCCTCCATCCCTTTCCGCAAATGCAAGGGGTATTTACTATAAGGAGGCAGCTCTAGAATTTGCCGTTCTCTTGAGACTCAAAAATGGCAGGGTGATTGGGTCCCACCTGAAGAAGCAGGTTGAACCATCCGCTGACTTAGGTAAAGGCAGAAAGTAGGAGCTGGCAAGCCACTGCTCAGTCTAGACGTTGGTTACGTGCCTGCTGGAGCCATTCCTTCATCCCATCACAGGTGTGAGCCTTTCACTTTCCCACACAGCCTCACTCAGGGGTTCTTTGTGGCCGTCAGGATGTGGTCTGGCCTTGAAGCCCCTGCACTCACCCACCATACCCCATCTTTCCGGGTTCATTTCCAGTCATCCCTGTGTTGTCCAAGCCCAGCTTGGTCTCCTGTCCTCAGCATCAGCTCCAGGGCCCCTCCTCACTGGCTGAATCAGAAGCAGCCTGTCTTCCCCTCGTGTCCCCCGTGGCAGTATGAACATTGTGTTGTCATTGTCCATGTCCTTGTTCAGAGCCCACTCTGGACCCAGAGCCCCTTCAGCACACACTTGTCTCAGGTGCCTCCATAGACCCATCCCCTGGCATGTGGCTGGGACAAAATTGGGAGGGAATGAGTGAGTGAACCAGGGAGATGGGGCGGGCTTGCCACAGACCCCCCACTCAGCCCCTGTAAAAACAGGGACTGTGTCCTGGCAGCAAGGTAGAGGGACAAGGAGGGATGGGCCAGCTCTCAGCGAAGTCTGCTTCCTTCCTTCAGGGTGGTCGGGCCTAAGAACCAGCTAAATCCAGCTCCATGGGTTTGAAGTCCAGCATGACCCCAAGGCACTCTGGGTCTTTACTCCCTGCTTCATGTTCTTGTCTATGAAATGGGGATGGCGAACACCTCCCGGCAAGAATTGAACGTGTTAACTTGGAGAGAAAATATGTGCAGTGTGAGTGTTGTTCCACCAGGAAGCACCTTCCACCTGAGGCAGGTCAGTGACAGTTACAGACTGGCTGCAGTCGGGTGATGAGAAAGAAGTGCCACCAACAGCTGGCACGAACAGCCCCACCGGGGGAGAGGGTGGCAGGTGGGAAACACCCAGCTCTTATGGGATCTGACGGTCAGGGCAGAGGCTGGCATAGCACCACATAGGAGCAGGATGGTACCCACAGAATGTCCCTGGGCGATTCACTTTCCCCAGAAGGCCAGTCTTCAAGTTCTCTGCCCATTCCTATTGATGGCGCACCTGTGTGTGTCTCATATTGAACATCTGTCTGCAGAGAGCTGTTCAGACACTGTGCAGAGGGCAGGGGAGCTGCGGGCACTGGCTGCGGGAGGCAGAGACTGGGCCTCCCGGCCCAGCTGGACTGTCCTGGGGTAGGAGGCAAGGGGGAGTCCATGGGGCCTCGAGGCTGTCACTTCACTCCTTGGGTGATGTGCACCTGCACTTAAACACACCCTCACAAAACATCGCACGCTCACACACTGATAGAAGACGCTCTCTTTTTTTTTTTTAGATTTTATTTATTTGACAGACAGAGATCACAAGTAGGCAGAGAGGCAGGCAGAGAGAGAGAGGAGGAAGCAGGCTCCCCGCCAAGCAGAGCAGAGCAGAGCAGAGAGCCAGATGCAGGGCTCGATCCCAGGACCCTGAGATCATGACCTGAGCCAAAGGCAGACACTTAGTGACTGAGCCATCCATGTGCCCTGACGTGAGAGTTTCTTATTTCCAATTCTCCATGTTATAGAGTCAGGTTTATTATCTCCATGCTATGGAGAAAGTAGAGACCCAGAGAAGTAGAATCATCTCCCTGAGCAGGAGAGAGTAAGAAGCACAACTGGGAACTGAGATCCGCCGGACCCCTCCCGATAGCCTGTACTTCCTATTGAATCCCCCCGCTCCTTAGCCAGTGGTTCCCAGCCTCACCTACACGTGAGAATTGCCTGGATAAAAATCTGGGTGACCAAACCAAACACCAAACCAGTGCAATCTGGATTTGTGGTAGGCAGAATAATGCCTCCTCTCCCTGCTTAAAGATGCCCACATCATAATCCCCAGAACCTGTGAATATGATACCTTACTCGGCAAAAGAGAATGTGCAGACGGGGAGGGGGAAGAGAATCCTGGGTCACCAGGTGGATCCAGTGTCATCACAAAGATCCTTTTAAGTGAAAGAGAAAGGCAAAGAGGGTCAGAGTCAGAGAAGGAAATGAGATGACATTGATGCAGATAGGAACAAGGAATGTAGAAGAGACAAGGAAATAGTTTTCCCCTGGAGTCTCAAGAAAGAACTGCCCCTGCCACTAGGGCGATTTTAGCCCCTTGAGACCCATTATGGACTTCTGACCTCCAGAAAGATCTTTGTTGTTATAAACCACTACATTTGTGGTAATTCGTTAGAGCAGCAATAGGAAACCAACACAGCCTCTCTAGACACAAACCAGACCAGTGGAGTACAACCAGTTGTACCCGGGGGAAAACAGGAACAATGGTTTATGGAAGTAATAAAAGAGAAATCAGGAAAAATGTGGGGCTCTTTTCCCTGGTAGGTGGGTGGAAAGGCAAGTTCTGCTTGGAGGCAGGGAGGCACCAGTGATGTGAAGCTGGGCTGGAGAGAAGACAGGGCTGAGAGCTGGAAAGCAGAAGCTGCCAGAGGT